TTTATTATCACACTGGCCGATTCCCACCAAGGCAGGGTGGCCCGAAAAAGAAAAACTTTCACCATCATTCACTCCATCACTGTCTTGCCAGAAGGGTGCTTTACACTACAGTTTTTAAACTGCAACATTAACACCCCTCCTTCAGAGTGCAGGCACTGTACTTCCCATCTCCAGGACTCAAGTCCGGCCTGCCGGTTTCCCTGAACCCCTTCATAAATGTTACTTTGCTCACACTCCAACAGCACGTCAAGTATTAAAAACCATTTGTCTCCATTCACTCCTATCAAACACGCTTACGCATGCCTGCTGGAAGTCCAAGCCCCTCGCACACAAAACCTCCTTTACCCCCTCCCTCCAACCCTCCAAAGTCGGTGCCGGATCAGCCGGGCTGTGGCTCGTACGTCGGACTGTGTGCGGCCAGCAGTAACAGCCTAGTTGATCAGGCCCTGATCCATCGGGAGGCCTGGTCGTGGACCTGGCCGCGGGGGCATTGATCCCCGGAATAACCTCCAGGTAACCTCCAGGTAACCTTTCCTAGGCCGACCCCTACCCCGCCTTCCTTCCACTACAGACTGATACACTCATGAAGTTATTCTGTTTCGCTCCATTCTCTCCACATGTCCGAACCACTTCAACAACCCTTCCTCAGCCCTCTGGACAACAGTTTTGGTAATCCCGCACCTCCTCCTAACTTCCAAACTACGAATTCTCTGCATTATATTCACACCACACATTGCTCTCAGACATGACATCTCCACTGCCTCCAGCCTTCTCCTCGCTGCAACATTCATCACCCATGCTTCACACCCATATAAGAGCGTTGGTAAAACTATACTCTCATACATTCCCCTCTTTGCCTCCAAGGACAAAGTTCTTTGTCTCCACAGACTCCTAAGTGCACCACTCACCCTTTTCCCCTCATCAATTCTATGATTCACCTCATCTTTCATAGACCCATCCGCTGACACGTCCACTCCCAAATATCTGAATACATTCACCTCCTCCATACTCTCTTCCTCCAATCTGATATCCAATCTTTCATCACCTAATCTTTTTGTTATCCTCATAACCTTACTCTTTCCTGTATTCATTTTCAATTTTCTTCTTTTGCACACCCTACCAAATTCATCCACCAATCTCTGCAACTTCTCTTCAGAATCTCCCAAGAGCACAGTGTCATCAGCAAAGAGCAACTGTGACAACTTCCACTTTATGTGTGATTCTTTATCTTTTAACTCCACGCCTCTTGCCAAGACCCTCGCATTTACTTCTCTTACAACCCCATCTATAAATATATTAAACAACCACGGTGACATCACACATCCTTGTCTAAGGCCTACTTTTACTGGGAAATAATTTCCCTCTTTCCTACATACTCTAACTTGAGCCTCACTATCCTCGTAAAAACTCTTCACTGCTTTCAGTTACCTACCTCCTACACCATACACCTGCAACATCTGCCACATTGCCCCCTATCCACCCTGTCATACGCCTTTTCCAAATCCATAAATGCCACAAAGACCTCTTTAGCCTTATCTAAATACTGTTCACTTATATGTTTCACTGTAAACACCTGGTCCACACACCCCCTACCTTTCCTAAAGCCTCCTTGTTCATCTGCTATCCTATTCTCCGTCTTACTCTTAATTCTTTCATTAATAACTCTACCATACACTTTTCCAGGTATACTCAACAGACTTATCCCCCTATAATTTTTGCACTCTCTTTTATCCCCTTTGCCTTTATACAAAGGAACTATGCATGCTCTCTGCCAATCCCTAGGTACCTTACCCTCTTCCATACATTTATTAAATAATTGCAACAACCACTCCAAAACTATATCCCCACCTGCTTTTAACATTTCTATAACATTTATACATTATATACAGTACATAAATAATTAAAATACAACAATAGAAGTAAATTATGGTAAAAAGAATGAAATAATGATTGTACATTACATTACAGTATTATGTAGGTAGTTTATATAGGAAAGTTTTGACATTATGCCCTACCCAATATGTCGGCAATTTTCAAAGGTTCAACTTACGTCCATTTCGACTTACGACCGGTTGGTCGGAACCAAGCTTGGTCGTAAGTCGGATGGTAGGTGTATATTGATTTCTCTCCATGGGAAAGTGGAACAGAATTCTTCCTCCGTAAGCCATGCATCTCGTGAGAGATCACTAAAGTGCCGGGAGCAAGAGGCTAGTAACCCCTTCTCCTGTATATATTACTAAAGTGAGAATCCGAAACTTGTTTTTCTTTTTGGGCAACCCTGCCTCGGTGGGATGCAGCTGGTTTGCTGAAAGAAGAAGCAGATATTGATTTCTATGAATAATCAGAATTATCTACATTATAATTATTTTACACGTCTCCCACCAAGGTAGGGTGACCTAAAAAACAGGAAACATATTTGCCATCATTCATTCAATAGCTATTTTGCCAGAAGTGTGCAGACATCACAAATCAAGTGATTCTCCTAATTGCAGCACTGAGGTTAGGCCTCATCTCCAAGAAAAAAGCGAAGTAATAATCTGCAACATTCACATGTATCATTAGAAAATTCAAACAAAGTTCCTGTTCAACTAGATTTATTGATTCCTTATGAGATAATAACCCTTTCAGGATCGGTGCCGTACTTGTACGGCTTGAGAACCAGGGTTAGTGCTGTACTTGTATGCGTAAATTCTAGCGCCTTCAAATCGAGCGGAAGAAAGCTGGTAGGCCTACATATGAAAGAATGGGTCTGCATGGCCCGTGTGCGCATTATAAAAAAATCCTGCAGCATGCAGTGCATAATGAGAAAAAAAACTCCGACCATGTTTTTTATTTAAAACAGTGACTTTGCAGTGTATTTTTGTATGGTATTTATGGTTGTATTTTCATTTTCTTGGTCTCATTCGATAGAATGGAAGATATATTACAGAAATAGAGATGATTTTGATTGGTTTCACGATGAAAAGTACCTTGAAATTGAGCTCAGAGTAGTGAAAATGTTCGATTTTTGCTGATGTTCAAGAGTAAACAAATTCATGCCACACATCCAATACACGTCAACTGGTGAGTCTAATATTCTTTCACAAGTGCGCTGACATTATACCATTTTTACAATAATGCAGTAGTCTGCATAACAGTAAATCTTCTATTTTTTGTGAGAATAAAAATTCAAAATGGAAAGCAAGAGTAATACAAGAGGGGCCTGGAGACATGACTAATGAACAGAGAAAATGTTATTTTGGTGCCAGGAATGTGTATGTCTTATTTATTCTGGACCCTATTTTGAAATTGGCATCTTTTGAAATTTGTGTGAAATTGGCCAAATTGCCAAATTTTGACCACTTTATTGCGTAGTTGAAATCAGTAAATGGGCTGTTTCTTGTACTCATTTGATGGAACAAATAGAGTTCTAGCAAAATAGCTATGATTTTAGTTGACTGGAACATTGGAATTGGCTGAAAATATGGCTCAAATTGGGCAAAATCGCCGATGCGTAAATATCGTTGAGACGGTTAACTTCGCGAGAGCATAAGTCAATAAGTTTTCCATCAGATTTCATACTTTTGGTTTCATTATCACTGGGAAAAGATTATCTATTGTTTCATAAGAAAAATAATAATTATTTTTTTTAATTTTTCGACCCTGAGAGCGAGCTCAGGATCGGGGGTCTTGACCCTGAAAGGGTTAAAAACTCGGATAACTCTCTCCCAAATTTTAGGGTAAAAAAAATCATGAAAAACAAACAAACAAACAAACAAATACTACTCTCCAAATAATGTTAATGACTATGTCCATCAATCTGCTGGTGCAGCTGGTAGCGCAAAGTGATGGCTCTCATATAGAAATTGGTGCATGCATTAACAGTTTAGCTTCTGTCCTTCAAGCTGAACCGTTTGCTATACTCCTTTCAGTGAAATGTGCTTATTTATCTAAAGTTAACACCTTAACTGTAAGAAATTCTTTATCTATAAATGCTCTTAACCACTAGACAGATATGGTAGAATTGTAGACAGGGGAGTGAATGCATCTTTTGTAGGTTTCAAATGCACAATCAAACCATTGAATTGGCAAAGGTGTATTCCTTCATGGAAAGAGTATGTTACAACTTTTGTGCCATCAACTCATAATTTGAGAACAATATGAAGTGAACTTTAACTGAATTTCATTGATTTGAGGTGGAGGGAGAATGACACTGGTTAGTTCATCTGCCATTATTTAATCATGCACAAAAAGGCACATATCTATGGGACATCCACAAAATCAGGAGATTCTTACTGTCTGGCTTTGGCTGGGCTACAAGTAACTCAGAGTTCACATCATCAGCTGAACTCCAACCCCCCCCCCCCCCTTCCAAGGAACTAGTGTCACATCTTGAATTGTTATGTATTTAAATGTGAAAGAATTCATGAATTCAGAAACAATTTACTAAAATGTTCAACTAATGCCTAGTTACCCACAATGAAATATTACCAGAAATCCTGTAAAATTACCCAGACATTGCCTGTTGTAAAGACTGTATATAACATCCACTTTAACTTGCTGGAATTCTACCATAATGTAAGAAACACATAAGCCAAATAACTATGTAAACAACTCATTACTCTTGTTAACAATTCATAAATTTGTAAATGCTGTAGCAGTAAGCCCTTGATATGACAGATTAGTAGGGGGGGATTGTTCAGAGGATAATTTCACTTGTAAGGTCTGTGCACTTCTGGCAAGATAACTATTAAATGAATTATGGTGAATGTTTTTCATTTTTTGAGTCATCCTACTTTAGTGGGAGGAAGCAAGTGTGCTAAAAAGAGAAAGAGGATAATTTTGAAGAAGCTATGAGAGTTGCCAGGAAAGTCATATAAGAAAAAGCATCAGGTGGTAATCAGATGATAGGAGAATGTTTGAATTTGTCAATTGATATGATGTGACACACTTGCAGACAGCATTATTTGTGATCTGTTTATCAATAATAACCATTTTATATGGTGTTTACTTTTCATTAGGTGAGTGTGCTGGAGAGTGTGGAAAATCCATCAAAGCTCATTGTAGTTGGCATTACCCACCTGTACTTTCACCCAGATGCTGATCATATTCGTCTGCTGCAGGCAGGGATCAGTCTTCAGTTGTTACAACAAGTCATGTCTCTCTATGAAACTAAGGTATGCCACTTTATGGAATTGCTTAGTTCTTATTGTAAGAACGTTTGATTGTAATACATATCTTGATCACCCAGGTTGTGATGGCTTTGTAGACTTGTAGGCAGTGGGTAGCAATAGTATGACTGATCAAAAGATCACTAGTTAATTAAGCCATGGCTTCAAGCTGGGCTGTAAGAGTAGAAAAACCTTAAAACTGAACACAATTACTTGTAAACTGCAGTTTAAGTAATACAGTACACTGGTACCTCGGGATACAAATTTATTTCATTCCGGAAGGCTGTTCAAGTGCCGATACCGAATGAATTTGTTGCCATAAGGAATAATGTAAATTAGATTAATCCATTTCAGACCCCCAAAGATGCACTTACAAAATCACTTACAAAATCACTTACATAAATACACTTACATAACTGTTCAAGTTTTGAGTTGTTCATATCCCAAGGTACTACTGTGTATATTAGTAGAGCCAAATACTGGTGTATCTTTAATCCACATTTTGCATTGTTTCATGTGCCTTTAAAGTTCAGTATTATTTGATTTAGAGAAAAGCTCTAATATGGAAGAAAATGTAAAATAGCCTCAGTGAAAAGCAGTAACAGATCATTGTATCAACATCTGTGGGCCCAGACTTTAACATCTTAACAGAAAATAAAGAACACTGTGGAAACAAGTGTAGAAGTCTTCGAGAGAAAACTCAAAAAGTATCTCCTCTAATTGCTGGATCAACCAGGATGTGATGGATGTATAGGCCAGCAAGCCTCCAGCAGTAACAGCTTGATTGATCAAGCAAGCACCAGACAAGCCTGGCCTAGGGCCAACTTGTGAGAGTGAGAAAATTCAATAAATTTGTCAATGGTATATCAAAGGTATACCATAGGAGTCATAAATCACATGGGGAATGAGATGTAATTAAGTTTGATCCAAGAAAGAGGAGGGTAGCTCCAACCTCTTCAATCAAGAATAAGTAATTTTACTCCCAGTTTTTGGAACATCTTTCTTCATTTCTCACTTTTTACTTAGTAATAGCAGCCTCTTTATGTGTGTATGTGGTAGTAATAAAATCAAAACAATGAAATTTTTTTTCAGCACTTTACCAAGATATGAGAGTGTGAAGTTGAAGGTCATTGTTGCATGCTGTGTATTAAAACATTTTTCATTCTTTTCACTTTTTCTTTTTGTCATTTTCCATATTTTTTCACTTCCACATAAGAACTGTGGATTACATCACAAGCCACTTTCTGAAACTGTCATTCTATGTCGCAAAATTTTTGGAAAAAAAAAAAACTTATCTTTTCTCATGAAATGATAGAGAATATTTTTCCAATGGTAATGACACCAAAAGTACGAAATTTGGTCGAAAACTCACGGAATTATGCTCCCGCAAAGTTAGCGGTCTAGGCGACATATACGCATCAGCGATTTCGCCGACTTTGAGCCCTGTTTTTGGCCAATTCCGTTGTTCCAGTTGACCAAACCCATATTTATTTCTTTAGAACTCCATTCTTTCTATCAATTGAGTACAAGAAACTGCCCATTTACCAATTTGAACTACCCAGTAAAGTGGTCAGAAATTGGCAATTTGGCCAATTTCACGCAAATTAAAAAAGATGCCAATTTCAAAATAGGGTCCAGAATAAACAATGTAGACATTCTTGGCACTAAAATAACATATCCTCTGTTCATTAGTCATGTCTCTAGGACCCTCTTATATTACTTTTGCTTTCTATTTTGATTTTTTATTCATACAAAAAATACAAAATTTACTGTTATGCAGACTAATGCATTATTGTAGAAATGCTATAAATAATATCAGTGCACTAGTGAAAGAATAGTATTAGACTCCCCAGTTGATGTGTATTGGACGTGTGGTGTGATTTGCTTACTCCTGAACATTGGTAAAAATCGAATATTTCTGCTACTATGAGCTCAATTTCAAGGTCATTTTCATCATGAAAGTAATGAAAATCATCTCTATTTCTGTAATATGTTTTCCATTTTATCACATGAGACCATGAAAACGAGAATACAACGATAAATACTACACAAAAATACACCTCAAAGTCGGCGTTTTAATCCAAAAAAGGTCAGTTTTTTTTCTCATTATGCACTGCGTGCTGCAGGATTTTTTGTGTGGTGCACACTGACCACACAGACCCATTCTCTCACATGTGGGCCTACCAGCTTTCTCCCGCTTGATTTGAAGCCACTAGAATTTACGCGTATTAATACGTCCGAAACAGTGGCGTGTAAGGTGTATATATATGACCAAAACAGTCAAAGGGTTAATGCCCAGTGTCCTGCCTCAACCTGCCTCACATGGGCCAGTAGGCCTGCTGCAGTGTTCCTTCTTTCTTATGTTCTTATGTCTTTTTGTTGTGCTAAAAGTGCCAACAGTATACAGTGGACCCCCGGTTAACGATATTTTTTCATTCCAGAAGTATGTTCAGGTGCCAGTACTGACCGAATTTAGTCCATTTCAGACCCCCAAACATACACGTACAAACGCACTTACATAAATACACTTACATAATTGGTCGCATTGGGAGGTGATCGTTAAGCGGGGGTCCACTGTACATGTATTTGTTTATAAACACTGTTTTATACAAACATACACACACTCATCCATTTGCACATGTATATAGACACTGGTCATTTCCTTAGAACTGTTGCAGTCTGTAGAAGTCGCTGAAGCATAGCTCTACACACAGCAGGGTTTTGCATTCCCTACACACATAATGCATATCTCTGCACTTATCGGTTGCCTTGATATGTAATTGTAACTGTTCCAGACACACTCCACCAACCCGGTCTGCACATTACATTTGTTCACCAAATGCATATTGCTTGTGCAGTAAATTACAGCAGCTAATTTCACAGTGGGTTCATTTGTTTCTTTTTCCTTTCCTGTTTCTTTCAGGTTGTTCTAGTGAGAGAAATGTCAACAATGTTAAATCGTGTGTTATGCCACCAAAATTCCATAAGGTCTATAACATGGAACACCTTGAACTTGGGCACATGTTTTCATGCTGCACACAGATGTGTGTGATATAGATCACACACATCTGTCATTTTTTTAACACATCGGCCATTTCCTATTAAGGCAAGGTGACCTGAAAGAGAAGAAACACTTTCATCATCACTCACTCCATCACTGTCCTGTCAGAGGCACGCTGATACTACAGTTCAACAATGCAACATATCTCTACCCCTCCTTCAGAGTGCTGGCACTGTACTTCTCACCTCCATTGCTCAAGTCCAGCTAACCAATCTCCCTGAATTCCCTCATAAATGTTACCTTGCTCACACTCTCTCATAAATGTTACCTTGCTCACACTCCAGCAGCATGTTGTCATAAAAACCACTTAACTTCTCTCACTCCTATCCAACATGCTCACACACGCTTGCTGGGTGTCTAAGCCTCTTGGACACATAATCTCCATTATTCCATCTCTCCAACCTTTTTTTAGGATGACTTCTACCCTGTCTTCCCTCCACTACAGATTTATATGCTTTCTAAGTCATCCTATTTTGTTCCTCTCTAAATGTCTGAACCACCTCAACAACCTCTCCTTAGCCCTCTGAATAATACTTTTACTAACCCTGCACCTCCTAATCTCTAAGCTGTGGATTCGCTGCATAATATTCACAGCACACATTGCCCTCAGGCATGACATTTCCATTGCCTCTAGCTGCCTCCTTGCTGCAACATTCACAACTCATTCTTCACACCCTTATAAGAGCATTGGCTCCACTTTGCTCTTGTACATTTCCCTTCTTGCCTCCATGGATAATGTGTAGACAGCCTGTACTGTCTGCACAGACAGCCCATGCTGTCTGCACAGACAGCCCATGCTGTCTGCCAGCTTAGTTCATATTTCGCATCACTCAGGTGCTGCCATCTATAGGCCTTGCCACTTCAGTATGCCCAGACTTGCCTCACTCTCACTCACACAGCGGCCTGGCATCAACACACAAGGCCTCCCAGCTCTCTCTCGTGGGCATGGCCCTGCCCGGGCCATGGGCACAACACACAAGCCTGTGTACCCACAACGACTTAACAATAAACAAAGAAGCCTCTGAAGACGTATATCATTCACACCCCGCTACCAGACTACCAAAACAACCCCGTTATAAATGTTCTTTGTCTTCACCCGGTGGCCTGGTGGCTAAAGCTCCCGCTTCACACACGGAGGGCCCGGGTTCGATTCCCGGCGGGTGGAAACGTTTCGACACGTTTCCTTACACCTGTTGTCCTGTTCACCTAGCAGCAAATAGGTACCTGGGTGTTAGTCGACTGGTGTGGGTCGCATCCTGGGGGACAAGATTAAGGACCCCAATGGAAATAAGTTAGACAGTCCTCGATGACGCACTGGCTTTCTTGGGTTATCCTGGGTGGCTAACCCTCCAGGGTTAAAAATCCGAACGAAATCTTATCTTATCTTCACAGATTCCTCACTGTACCATTCATCGGTTCTGTGGTTCACATTGGTTTTCACAGAACCATATGCTGACAAGTCCACTCCCAAATATCTGAACACATTCACTTACTCCATACTCCCTCCCTCCAGTCTAATATTTTCATTACCTAATTTTTTTGTTAATCTCATTGCCTGGCTCTTTCCTATGTTTACTTAATTTCCTTCTATTACATATCCTCTCAAATTCGTCAACCATCTTTTGCAACTTCTCTTCAGAATCTCCCAAAAGCACAGTTTCATTAGCAAAAAGTAACTGACACTCCCACTTTGTGTTAGAGTGTAAATGACAAGGAACATTTCATTTAATTAGGTTTATAAACATGCTTGACAGTAGGCAATAAATTTCAAGAACAATTGTATCAGTATTTTAAGAAACATAAAGAATGATGTTTAAGTGCACAGTGAGAGCAGTATGTTTAAGTCTTAAAATTAATGAAGAAAATAGAGATATTAGACAAGAGATAGCCTATGACCTTGATGAAGCATCTGTTCAGTTAAAAAGAATGAGGTAAATATACGAGTTTGTGTGATGACTGGCTTACTGACTTACTTGACTGACTTACTGACTGACTGATTTACTGACGTACTGACTGACTGACTTGACTGACTGACTTTACTGACTTGACTGACTGACTTTACTGACTTGACTGACTTACTGGACTTAACTGACTTACTTGACTGACTGACTGACTGACTGACTTGACTGATTTACTGACTGGACTGATTTACTGACTGACTGACTTGACTGATTTACTGACTGACTGATTTAACAGTTAGACTTTTTCACTGAAGAGGACCCTGACAAATCTAGAAACTGAATATGACTGGTATATAATACTGACAAGTTGATAAGACACATATGCAAGAGTTAGGTATCCTTATTCTGAAATGTGTCTTGAGCAGCTGATGCTTTACCATCAGCTCAAGCTGCTGCCTTGTTGTGGGTCAGCAGGGAAGACCTACCACCATACCCTGCCACTCCCAACACTCCTGCCACCACCATCCCAGCCTTTGTGAATACAGCTTCAGTTCAATTGTCTTAGGAGCTAGCTGTGTTTGTGAATTGTGTTTTAATCTTTTAATTGCCATATCTTGTATCTGCCAAGCAATCATGATACCCAGTAGGCATACAAGTGTTACAAAAAGTGGCAAGAAAAGGTATAAGCGTTTAAGTCTTAGAGTTACGAAGAAAATTGGGTATTAGACAAGAGATAGCCCATGGCCTTAATGAAGCATCACTTTGTACAATTAAAAAGAATGAGGTAAATATACGAGTTTGTGTGATGAATAAACGACTTACTTGACTGACTTACTGACTGACTTTACTGACTTACTTGACTGACTTACTGACTTACTTTACTGACTGATTTATGACTGACTGACTTGATTGATTTACTGACTTTACTTACTGACTTGACTGATTTACTGACTTTACTTACTTACTGACTTGACTGACTGACTTACTGACTTACTGACTTAAAGTTAGACTTTTTCACTGAAGAGGACCCTGATAAATCTAGAAGCAGTGCTCTGAAACAGTGCCTAGAGCAGTTGATGCCTTACCGTCAATTGTATAATGTCCTGCGGGGTAAAATAGAACAGAAATCCATTACAGAATTTATGCACACTCTACCATCTATACTTCAGTACCAGAACTTCTGTCATCCACCTCAGCCCAGTAGGGCCACAGCATAACTATCCACTCTCTTCACAATCATTGACAAACACCAGCACCCACAGTTTAAGGTAAGAATTTCTATTATTTCTGTTGCATTTGTAATCTTAAGCAGTAGAAACAACATAATACATCACGACAATGAACTACAATTGCATATTCACTTTTATTTTTGTAAGATCTGGAGGTCTAAAAAAAGTTGTTTGTTTTTTGGGGGGCTCCCAGGAATGTAACCCTATTTATTTCATAAGTTCTTCAGTTTATCTAACACGGATTTGCCTAACACAGCATTTTCAGGAACGTTATTGCTGTATAATATAACTTTCTACGGTACACACGAGAGTGCATTAAGTCCAGTCAAAAAAATGAACATAGTCCATTGCTTACTTGATTGTCCATCATTGTTACATTCGTGGCACAATAATCTCATCTTTCCACCACAGTTGCCATTACCCCTTTCCTATTAATCTGTTAAATTGAGGGTTTACTAGTACATATATTTGCTGTATGTGTATGTTATTAAATCATAACTTCATTATTTTTCATTGTAGCATCCTGAAAAAGAAGTATCATTAATCTTCTGTGGGGATTTCAACAGCACACCTGAGTGTGGTGTGTACCGACTCATGACCACTCAGCTTATTGATTTTGACGATATGGATTGGAACATCAGTAAGTACCACATGTTATGAGTAAAATTTAATTGTCTTAAGTTTACTGTTCAGGCCTGAGAGATAATGTTTATAAATAATTTCACTCATTGGGGAATTGTTAAGCATTCTAAAATCTTTTTCGAAGTTCACTGCTTTCGACAGGATGAGATGAAATAACTTATCACAAGCCTGGTGCTCTGAGGCATGAGAAAACACCTAGCTTCACACTTCGAGTAGCTTATTAATTTGTTGCCTTGGGTAATTTTTTTTGTCTTCCATTGACATGTTAGCCAGAACAGGTGATAGGTATCTTCCATAAATTAACAGAGATAAACATGGAAGAGAGAACTATTTCATCTTAACCCGTAAACTGTCCAAACGTAGATCTACCTTTTTACTGCCAGCGCTCCGAATATTTTGGGGGAAAAAAAAATCTTTAAAAAAAAGAAAAAAAAAATATCTTGTTTTTTTTTTTTTTTTTTAAATTAAAGAGGGCAATTTTCCATGTGTAATAAGACAAAAAAAAAATTTAGGTTCAGTACTTACCGAGATATAAGGCCACAAAGTTGGCTGTGGACGCTCACCTGATGGAAACTTGAAGTCCTGCCCCTTGCAGAAATATTGCTGATATACCTTTTTTTCTCTCTTTTTTTTTTAATTTATGTAATTTTTATGTTCTGATAATTACAATTTGTAGTAGTTCTTGTGATTTCATAGCCAATGTTTCTTCTGACACTAATATTAGATACTAAAATAGTACTCAAATAGTCATAAACATACTGACAAGTGAACATTTTTACCTGCCATGGTCACATACTATTGTCTAGAAATATATACAAAGTATTTATAGGTCCCAGCAATGTTTTAGACTTTTTTTTTTTTTTTAACAAGTTGGCCGTCTCCCACCGAGGCAGGGTGACCCAAAAAGAAAGAAAATCCCCAAAAAGAAAATACTTTAATCATCATTCAACACTTTCACCTCACTCACACATAATCACTGTTTTTGTAGAGGTGCTCAGAATACAACAGTTTAGAAGTATATACATATAAAGATACACAATATATCCCCATAAACTGCCAGTATCCCAAACCCCTCCTTTAAAGTGCAGGCATTGTACTTCCCATTTCCAGGATTCAAGTCCGGCTTTATAAAATAACCAGTTTCCCTGAATCCCTTCACTAAATATTACCCTGCTCACACTCCAACAGCTCGTCAGGTCCCAAATACCATTCATTTCCATTCACTCCAGTCTAACACGCTCATGCACGCTTGCTGAAAATCCAAGCCCCTCGCCCACACAACCTCCTTTACCCCCTCCCTCCAACCCTTTCGAGAACGACCCCTACCCCACCTTCCTTTCCCTACAGATTTATACGCTCTCCATGTCATTCTACTTTGATTCATTCTCTCTAAATGGCCAAACCATCTCAACAACCCCTCTTCAGCCCTCTGACTAATACTTTTATTAACTCCACACCTTCTCCTAATTTCCACACTCCGAATTTTCTGCATAATATTTACACCACACATTGCCCTTAGACAGGACATCTCCACTGCCTTCAACCACCACCTCGCTGCAGCATTTACAACCCAAGCTTCACACCCATATAAGAGTGTTGGTACCACTATACTTTCATACATTCCCTTCTTTGCCTCCAAAACGTTCTTTGTCTCCACATATACCTCAACGCACCACTCACCTTTTTTTTTCATCAATTCTATGATTAACCTCATCCTTCATAAATCCATCCGCTGATACGTCAACTCCCAAATATCTGAAAACATTCACTTCTTCCTTACTCCTCTTCCCCAATTTGATATCCAATTTTTCTCTATCTAAATCATTTGATACCCTCATCATCTTACTCTATTCTATGTTCACTTTCAACTTTCTACTTTTACACACACTCCCAAATTCGTCCACTAACCTCTGCAATTATATATGAAACTCCTTGAAGCATGGTGTAAGACAAGTGTCACTCCACTGCTGACAGTGGAGCAGTTGAGTGACATTTGATGATCATGAACTGCCTTGGCTTTATTTGTTTTCACTGTTACACATAAACATGTCTGTCTATCTGTTTGTCTATCTGTCTGTCTGTCTAGCTCTGCCTCTGTCTCTGCTTATCTGCCTGTACTCACCTATTTGTACTCACCTATTTGTGGTTGCAGGGGTCGAGTCCTAGCTCCTGGCCCCGCCTCTTCACCGGTTGCTACTAGGCCCTCTCTCTCCCCGCTCCATGAGCTTTATCAAACCTCGTCTTAAAACTGTGTATGGTTCCTGCCTCCACTACGTCATTTTCTAGGCTATTCCACTGCCTTACAACTCTATGACTGAAGAAATACTTCCTACTATCTCTCTGACTCATTTGTGTCTTCAACTTCCAATTGTGGCCTCTTGTTTCTGTGTCCCCTCCCTGGAACATCCTGTCCTTGTCCACCTTGTCTATTCCATGCAGTATTTTATATGTCGTTATCATGTCTCCCCTGACCCTCCTGTCCTCCAGTGTCGTCAGGCCGATTTCCCTTAATCTTTCTTCATAGGACATTCCCCTTAGCTCTGGAACTAACCTTGTTGCAAACCTTTGTACTTTCTCTAGTTTCTTGACGTGCTTTATCAAGTGCGGGTTCCAAACAGGTGCTGCATACTCCAGTATGGGCCTGACATACACGGTGTACAGTGTCTTGAATGATTCCTTACTAAGGTATCGGAATGCTGTTCTCAGGTTTGCCAGGCGCCCATATGCTGCAGCAGTTATCTGATTGATGTGTGCTTCCGGAGACATGCTCGGTGTTATACTCACCCCAAGATCTTTCACCTTGAGTGAGGTTTGCAGTCTTTGGCCACCTAGCCTATACTCTGTCTGTGGTCTTCTGTGCCCTTCCCCTATCTTCATGACTTTGCATTTAGCAGGATCAAATTCGAGAAGCCATTTGCTGGACCAGGTGTCCAGTCTGTCCAGGTCTCTTTGAAGTCCTGCCTGGTCCTCATCAGATTTAATTCTCCTCATTAACTTCACATCATCTGCAAACAGGGACACTTCTGAGTCTAACCCTTCCGTCATGTCGTTCACATATACCAAAAATAGCACTGGTCCTAGGACCAACCCCTGTGGGACCCCGCTCGTCACAGGTGCCCACTGTGATACATCATTACGTACCATGACTCGTTGTTGCCTCCCTGTCAGGTATTCTCTGATCCATTGCAGTGCCCTTCCTGTTATATGCGCCTGATGCTCTAGCTTCTGCACTAATCTCTTGTGAGGAACTGTGTCAAAGGCCTTCTTGCAGTCCAAGAAGATGCAATCAACCCACCCCTCTCTCTCTTGTCTTACTTCTGTTATTTTATCATAAAACTCCAGAAGGTTTGTGACACAGGATTTGCCTTCCGTGAATCCGTGCTGGTTGGCATTTATACTCCTGTTCCGTTCCAGGTGCTCCACCACTCTCCTCCTGATAATCTTCTCCATAATTTTGCATACTATACACATCAATGACACAGGTCTATAGTTTAGTGCCTCTTTTCTGTCTCCTTTTTTGAAAATGGGAACTACATTTGCCGTCTTCCATACCTCAGGTAGTTGCCCAGTTTCCTGTATGTCTGTCTTTCTGTCTGCTTGTCTCTCTTTCTGTCTCAGAGAGCTACTTATGAACCAACAGTCATCACATTTGATTCCTGAACAAGTGAAAATGCATATTACTTGCTAGTCATGCTTATTATGCCTTATATCTACAAGCACAGTATAGCACTTTGTCTGGATTTTTTGGGGGTTATCCTAGGTAATTTACACTATGTATAATAATTGTATTTATATGTACCTATGAGACAGAGACAGAGATAGACAGACATAGACAGAGATAGATACAGACAGACAGACATAGAGACAGCCAATGTCAGTCAGCCAGCGACCCACCCACCCACCCAGGTGCCGGCCAGCTACCCAGCCAGCCACCCAGCCAGCCACCCAGCCAGCCACCCAGCCAGCTGCCCAGCCAACCAGCCTGCCAGACACATATTACACTTGTTCCAGAATTGTTTCTCTTTAATTAGGGCATAGGTTATAGGACATTCTGGCAGGATGACACTACCAGTGGTATCAAAATTGAAAGGATGTTGCAGAAATGTTGCACATGGGTTATTATCAAGGTTTTTGATATTTCCCTGACCACTTGTGGCCACATCCATCTCAGAGCCACTAAACTCTGGGTCAACATCATTTTCCTCTTAAAAGGGAAGTGTTAATATAACATGTCATCAGTGAATCCCTGGTGTTTGCCAAGCTGTTTGCTCTGGCTGGCGCTCATTTGAACTGGTGCTCCCACAAGGTACTTAGTGGTCCCAGATTTTCTTAATACTGCACACACCGAGTATTAAAATCCATTCTATACTGACCAGGCATATCAGGCCAATTGTGCCAAATTTGGAGGCAGGAAAAATAAAATGTTGATCTACATTTGGAGTGCTAGCAGTAAGAACATAGATATGTTTGGACAGTTAAGGGGTTAAATCGTCCAACTGCTGAAATGTCATTAGTTTCAAGTTTGAATTGTCTAGTATACAAACTCTAAAATTATAAAATCTAACCTAATTCATGCCTTAGCTATAATTTTAAAGCTGTTATGGAATAGTATATGATCTTTAGTCTCAGATTGTAGTCTATTGGTTGATAAGGGAGGTATAGCTAGTTTAGTAAGGGTCCTGATTGACATTCATCTACTTTCATATATTCTAGTTTCTAAGTTTCTAATAATACTACCAATATATTACAGTTAGAACACACAAACTGATAAATAATGTTTGAACATAGAGGTGGCATAACTAGATCTTTATATCTCAAATGACTGCCAGTAATTAAAGAGTTAACAAAGATAAATTTAAAATACAGTGGAACCTCTGCTTATGTGTTTAACCCGTTCTGTGACCTAGCTCATAACCCGATCTGCTCGTCAATTTTCCTCATTTAAATTAATTGAAATCCATTAATCCACTCCAGCAGAATTCCTGCTCTGGATGCAGAATATGACACTAATATCAACT